GCAGATATGGGATTTTCTGGGTTCAACAGGTGTTCTAAGACAAGAAAATAGGGAGAAATCCCCAAGCTTTGCCGGATTTCCGACCGAAAATGGGTGGCGGTGACGGGGTGGGCTCGTCGAGTGCAGAGGGTCGAGGGAGAAGAAGAGCAAGGCACGCGGGTCTGATGAGGAAGGAAAGAAAGAAGAAAAAGAAAGAAAAAAAAGTAAAAGAAAAAGCAATTCATCCTTATCCTAATTTTCTTTCTTTTAAGTCCCTCAACTTTTAAAGATTTTACGATTAAGCTCCAAAACAATATTTTTCCTCAAATAAGTCCCCAATTTAATGCTAAAATACCCCAAAATTTTGGGATATTACAATCACATAAAAGAATATTTGTATTAATATAAAATTTGTGAGTGCTACCTCCAAATAAATAAAGAATTTGAAGTAATTCTCTAATTTGATCTCCTAATTGATGTATATCTCAACGAGTACTTGAATGAAACTTGATTTTGCTGAGAGAAAAGTTTGGGAAGAACCTAAAGGTTTAAAGGCTTTCATAAGATTTGAGATGCAATTGCAGTAAGTTGCTTGTGCTTCTTTCTTCACTTGTCTTCTCTCTTCATGGTGAATGCCTCTATTTATATAGGCAAATGAAGGAGTCATCTTCGAGGGAATATCTCAATATATTTTAATTAAGTTATACAATTTTGCCATGTGTCCCGATAATAATTAATTTAAATAAGACAAATGTCATATTTTATTTGACCATCTGTTTTAATTTATTTTATTTTAATAGGACACAATATTCTATAATTTTGCCATGATATCTTCATAGTTACAAAATGTGCAAAGTCTAACATTTATATTGATTTGTAAAATAATAAATACAAATTACAATAAATTTTAAAAAAAAAATGAAAAACAATCTCTAGTTTGAGATGCTACAATGTTGTACTTGAACTTTAAGTAGTAGCACATTCTGATATAGGTCTATTCTCTAATTAACAGTTAGATTTAGAAGGGTAAAGGTGTGAGTTTGATTTTGTCTTTCAAAGGATTTGAGGTTTGTTTTTTAAGATTTTTTTCTCCTTGGTTGGGATTTGGAACTTACCCTTGACAAAGAGTTCAATCCTTCCTTAATTAGAAGTTAAAACTTTAAGAATTGGGGTCTTCCTTTTTCTTCATTTTCATCTAATGAATAACTTATTTATAGTTAAAAAAAAGTTTGCCAAATGATTTCAAATACCTCTACTTTAAGGATAATTTAATAATTTCATAAATAAATTTACTTTAATTAAAGAGAAAAATCCCTTTAAAAATTTTATCACCCAACCTCTAAGATTTTATTTGAGGTAAAAATATTTTATTTTAACAATCTTACTGGTAGATTTTGAATTGGTGCGGGGATATGAAACGTGAATCTAGTCAAATCTTAGCATATAACATGATACAATGGTAAGAAATTTTTTTCTGTGTCTACATGTACATGTATGGTGATTTTACTGTAATAATTTTTATTCATGTGGTACTGTTAAATAGATAGACAAAGAATGTAAAGCACTACCTTCTCTCTTTACCGTAACTGGTTTTGAGGCTGAGAGAAGAAATCTTTGGGGTCACATGGTACCATTGCCTCGAATACAGATTCCAACACAGTGTCTTATCCTTTCAAACTCAATGCTAGTGCATAAATTAAGCACAATAGCGCTTGTTACTTAAACTGCTAAGGTAAAATTAATTAGATTAATTCTGGAATGGGCTGTGCTGTTCTGCATCTCATATACTCTTTATGTCTCAAAAATAATTATTTTTTTACTCAAAATGTGTACAAATTAATTATTATTTTTTATTTATTAAGATAAATAAATGTATTTTTTTATTTTGATTGTATTGTTATTTCTTAACTTTAATTATTAGTCTTATTACCAAAATTCTCTTTATTCTTATATTTTCTTAAAGATAATATAAGTAAATATATTAATTATCTATAAATTCTTAATTTGTGTAAAAATAAAAAATTAATTATTATTTTGGAGCAAAGAGGGAGTATTAAATAAAAGCTTAAAGAAACATTGAAAAAGGTTCGTGCAAGTAATTAAAAGCAACTAGAATCTATTTGCAATGACACCTTTTTCTAGTATGAATTGTAGATATATGGGGTGTGATGCACTAAAATCACTCTAACAAGTATACTAGTCGCTTCAAATAATATGATGATAAATAGAGTATTGAACTCATAAGGATTGTGTTTAATTAAGTACAAAAAATAATTAATATAAATTTATTTGAACAATTGAAAAGCAAGAAAATTTAAAACAATAAAAAGAAAATAAAAATTAAAATAAAACCTATCAAAATATGAGGTACTAAGGTATTGATTTCACCATAATCAATCAATATAAATTCTGAATTAATATGTTTTCAAAACCAATTTGTAAAATGTTATTGTATGTGATGTCGGATTTCTCTAAATTAACTAAGTCAAGTTAATCCTTCACTTGTTTGTTAAATTAATCATATCTCTATGTAATTTTAAACAAACTAATAAATATTAAATTATATGGAAACCTTTAGCAGAAAGGGGAGCTCCTAATTCTCTTCTCTTTCTCCACTACCACATGTGACACTAATTATCTCTCGGTCTCATAAGTTAACACATGGTTTCTATTATTATCGGCCTGATTTATGCAATTCTTTCTCAAGTTCATACATAAATTAGTAAATCAATCGAAAGGTGATTAGGCTTTCAATGCATTAACTTTAATAGTATAAAATCACAAAATTTATATTGAATTGATTAAGTTACATCATAGCCCTAGTAAAATAAATTAATTCATAATAAAAATAATAAAACATGAAATTATAACCATGAACATTCAAATATCAAACAATAGATAAAAAGAATATAAGGAAAAACAAAACCCAATTTGAGAAACTTGAACTCCTTGATCTACTATTGTTGATGAATCCTCTATCTTGATCTCAAAGAATGCCCAAAAGAGAGCTACCACCAGCCTCCAAAAGCTCTCCTCCCAAGTTCTCTCAATTCTAAATTTGGATGGGTATTTATAAGATATTAGAAATCCTAATTGGAATAGAAGTTGGACTCACACCCAAAATAATAAATTAACCACGAATTTTGTGAAAATTGCATAAGGGGTCAACACTTTCAACTAGGTACCGATACCTTCTGCTTAGCGCGCAACGGAGTTTTTTTAAGGAGTTGGTCCAATTAGTGTTAAGGAATTGAATATTCTTGAGTTGAAAATTCTAAAACTTCTAAAATCTTTGAATTTTATAGGAGATACAAAATTTGAAAAAATAGCACCATTATAATGAAGTTTAAGTTCATGAGTATTATATTTCACTTGAGCACAAGTTTGTAGTGAAAAGTTTAGATAGAAGATTTAGTAGCACCTAAAATGCACATAAAAAAAAAAAAGAAAACAATCCAACACAAAAGAAAAAGAAAAAGAAAAAGAGAATCCAACACACAAAAGAGTTTGTTAATTTCTACTCCAATGTTTCTAATTGCTTAGTAACTGGGGGTTAGGCATGCGACCCATATCAATTTTCACATCAAATGATGACTTAAAATATGAGTATGTAAAGCACCTTGAGTTTATGACTTCTTGAGTAATTGGGTGCTTTCATCACAAATGTTAGTATTCACATCAAAAGACAAATGATAGCTTTGGAAAGAATGTGTCATGAGGTTGAAAAAAAAAAGAAAAAAGAAAAAAGAAAAAAAAAAAGAGCAGCCGAATGTTTTGTGGCCTTTGTTACTTGAATAAGTATGTTCTTAGGGGTGTCTTTTCACTTGATGCTCTAAAGCCAACTAGTTTGGGAGTCATTGACAAAAAACTCATTACATGGGTAACTTAGAAAG